TCAGCTGTTCCATGACTCCTTGACATCATATGGAATAAAAAGATTTTACCAGCTGGCAATCAATAAAAAAGCAACCACGACGGATACTGCAGGAATAAGGATTTTAAGGTTTGTATCCTGGCCAAATCCAGGCCAGGCTATTGCATTCAAACTATTTAAAATTCCCTCTGCTGATTAACCTGCCCAAAATTAAGTACAAGGAAGAAGTTATTTACTGCGAGAAATGTGAGACACTGGCGCAGGTTGCCCACAAAAGTTGTGGCTGTCCCATCTCTGGCAGTGTTCAAGGCCAGGCTGGACAGGGCTTTGAGCAACCTGATCTAATGGAAGGTGTCCCTGCCTGTGTCAGGGTGTTTGGAACTGGATGATCTTTAAGGTCTCTTCCAACCCAAACTATTCTATGATTCTGCGAGGTTTTCTTCATCCTACCTCCAGAACCCTTCAAACAGAAATTGAATGCAGGGAACTACCTATAGGAAAAGCGGCTGCATTGAAGTGGCAGGTGGAGTATTGTTACCATTTGTCTTCCTCACAGAAATGTTTAACACATTGAGGTCCTGAGGAAAAGTTAACCTTTGACCTGGGTGGATGAATATAAGCAATTGTACAATGGACACAGAGAGACTGGCACTGCTGTTCTGCTCATGGTGGTCTATTGTGCATATGACCTTCAGAGACTGCTAATGTTCTGCAAAGCTTATTCTGGCAGAAGGAGAAAGTTTAGACTGTGCCATATGGAAAGGGAGCAGTCAATAAATGCAGAACCAGATTATCAGCGCATACATGTATGTTTAGACATCACTGAATTTAGGGAGTTTTTTACACTACATATTAATCCGCACACAAATTCAGATATACAAAAAGTGTTGATAAAATAGGTATTATTATTAGATAAGCTTCAAAAGGAAAAGGAACAAAAGCAAAATAAAGCAGCACAAAATTAGCACTATGAAAATCCTGTGTCCTCAGTTACCTATTTGTTGGTTTAATTGTGCCTTTTTTTTTTTTTTTTTAATTTCTTGGTGGTCTGAATGGAGAAGAAAAACCAAAGACTGAATAGAACCCTTTGCGCTGCTAGAGTGCTTTTGATTGATTTTATTTTAACTATAATTAATGGATATGGAAATAATGAGTTAAGAGTGAAAAGTCAATGTAATTTTAATGAGAAAATATTTTAGACACAGAAGAAAAGAACAGATGAGCAAAGACTTACAATGCTTTTTAATACCTATGACTCTTCAAGCATATCTGTTTAAACATCAGCTTTAGTCACTACTATTGGATAATCTATACAAGAAATGCAGATGAATTTAAGAAAGCAATGAAAACAGGGATTACAGTTGATGGATTAATGGCTAACAAAAAAATGTGCATGATTAGAAAATACCTGCATTTATGGAAGCCTGAAAACAGGGACTGAAATAATTTATAAAAAATGTTTGTCCAGAATTTAATCATTGACTTCATTAACATTGCTCATTATTTATATCGATGTAACTGACAGCAGACTCCAGTTTATTCTATTGCATATTATAAAGTATACTGTCTACATAAAATAATAATAACTATCACTTTTGTTGTCTTCTTTTAGCTTGATATTTTATAAGTTTAATGAAATATTTAATTGAAAACTCTTCACTCACTTTCTGATCTGAATTGTCTGGGTCTGAGTCTTGTTTAGAAGTTGAGGCTAATATAGTAAATGAGTGGTTGATTACAAATTAAGAAGTATCTGATTGGAATATTTCAGAAATCTCACAAAAATGTTAGTCAATCACCATCTTGCGCAAGGGCCCAAGTCTTCCTATTTAGGATCTAAATCAAAGTTCCATCAAAACATTTTATTACAAGCCATAGACTTATTTTTTCAGACTTGGATTCCAATCTAATACACCTCTCTATAAAATAAAGACTACTTATGAGCTAAAAAATTCAAAAATTAGTTACAAAATTCTTATGGACTAAAGACCTTGATGTTCAAATCAATAACCAGAGTATAGTTTATTGCAGGCTTCCACAAATGGCTCACAGTCATCTATAAGTCTTTGAGGTACTATAGTCCAGGGAAAAGTGGTTAGTAAAGATAGTTAATTTTAATTATTATGAGATGACTAATGAAATGTGCAGCTTAAATACAGTTTTGTACCTACACAATTCCCATTGCTGTTGTGCTCAGGTGTGTTCTAATTCCAATTAGAAGATTAGTATAGCAATAGGTTTTTTCCCTCCTCTTAACTTTCAGGTGAAAATACTGATGAATTTACATTTGTTTAAATGCATTAACAACACACAACGATATATGAAAGAGACTTGAATTTTACATGTAGTTCCTTTCAAATGCTGATAGTGATCACTAAATGTCCTATATCAGTAAGCTTCACAGACTATGCCTTGTTCTTTGGAAGTTTTAATCATCTGCATATTAGTTCTCCAGTAGCATATATTTTATTTAATTAAAATGTGGCTTTTGCAGTGGGTCTTGATCTTTACATCTGGTTGCTAGAATGAATTGTGAATACCTTGGAATCTTTATTAAATAAGTATGTTTCTATAGGAGTAATCTCATTAAATTTAAAACATTTATGAGACTGTAACACCCAGAATGATACTTTTTGACAGCTAATAGTTGTGAATATCCAACTTTTTTTGCTCTATTTTATAGACCTACCACTCATTCAGAATACAGTTCAAAAGAGCTGTTATGATACACAAGTTATAGATATATATTGTTATAATATTCCAAGTGGAATCAAATGATCTGACTGCTTAGAATAATGACTGCCCACCAGGGAAAGCAAACCTAGCATAGACAGAGTGTGTATATGAAGACCTTGAGATGGATAATTTGTTCAAAGGCAAAAGCAGACCAAGAGATGGAGCGCATGAAGACTCCTTCCACAATTATGTTGCCAGGTGCCTTTAGGCTTTTGAATTAATTTGAAACATTTGAGGCTTTCAGACTGCACCATATTCCAGATGCTAGAGTCAAGGTCTGACTGCAGTAAAAACTGTACCGAACTCAGCCTCCTGCTCAGTAACAAATGGAAATTCACTTGAGGTACTTCTGTCAACTAGCTTTTGGTTGGAAGAACACCTAAGGAGGCAAAACAGCTTGAAAGAGGTAGATGACAGCAGACCCACTTAGTCAAATGGAGTTTCTTCTTCTCTGTAGAGGGGAAGATCTCTTTTGTGTTGACCCTTCTCTAAGAGATATAGATAAATGAAGTAAATTCCTTTTCTGGGCTGGCAGACTTAGCAAAAATAAAACATAACATGCACTTGGTACAAGCATTCTAGAAGCAGAATGAGCTGTGGCAGAAATAAAAAGATATATTCTGCTGTTCTATCCTTGCCCTTCCTTTTCATTTATTCAAAATGCCTTTTTTTTTCCTTTTTTTCCCCCCAAATCTCTGATGGTTTAGCATTCCATGCAAACTCATCACATGACAGATCCTTATTTCTTTTTGCTGGGATTTTTATCAGCAGTCTATGAAGAATGCCCATTTTAAAAGTATTTACGTGTGCTCATCATGTCACATTATTCCTTTTTAAAAATGTTTTACAGAGTTCCTTTCCCATGTTTCCTTGCCAGAGTGATCAAAACATGGAAACATACATACTGCCTCCATTGGTTTACATTTCATTTCCCGAAATCGCAATAGGCTTCCTCATTTCCTCTTCAAACAAATTCTATTTTAAATGCCATTTGTTTAAAGCGCACTGTATGTAGAGGTAAAACTGAGTTACACTGAAACTGATATTCCCCTCTCCCCACCCCTCTATAAACAGTAGATGCAGAGGAACTGCTATGAATGACACAAGATACTCTCTGAACAACAGACTAAAAATTAAGTTGAATACAACCCAAATATTTTCAAATATCTGAAACAGTTCAGCCAGCTTTTTATCTTCCATATTTCATGTCATGAAGTGAAAACAGTTAACTCTGTAGCCACAAAACAGAGACATCAGTCTTACAATATTTGATATCAGAATCTTTGTAATATCATTCTGTCATCTTGTCAATATGTACTATACAACTCATACCTGTTAGCAAAATGTTGTATATAATGCTGTTTTGCTCTGCCCTCCTCCCTCTCAACCCAATGTGGCATGAAATGTTACCCATTTTTCCTTCTCAGAGCAAAAAAAAATATGTCATGAGATGAAAATAAAACTCACCTGAATGAAATGGTTTTAGCAGCTAAGAAGTATAGATGCACTTTACTGCTTGCATCTGTATTGCACAAACGAACAAACAGGACTTGCTTTTATCTTTTTGACTAATGTCATACAGGTCACTTTAAATGGTTCAGTCACATACATTACCAGAAAGAAGATTGCTCTGCGTACTTAAAGACTATGTTCAGGGTGGCAAAACTAGTCTAGTGTACAGACATGCAATCTTGTAAAGTGCCATTACAGCTGGCAGTAGTAACCTGTAGTGCTTAGAGTAAGTTTAATATACAGAGCCGGACAGACCTTATTTGATTAAACATATCCTGTTAAACAGATGTGCTGCTGAGTACAGAAATTACTTTTATGATTAAATCCTATAATGAAATCATATTTTTCTTCTCTCAATCATTTTAAAGCTATTCTTAGATTTCCATTGCGATCAAGCTGCAAATGTGCCTTATTAAAATTATTTCAAATTAATAAGCACATTTGATATTTTATGCAGTCCTGACTAGTTCAGCCTCTATGCTTTTGATAGTGTACATGTAACTGAAGCATTTCTGAAATTAGTAACAGAAAATAGAGAAAAAACCCAAAATAATAACAATTTTCATTTCTCTGCATCTCCAAAGAATTTTAAGATTCTTCATTTCAATATTGTGGAAATAATAAAGTCACTACTGTCAGACGAATCAGCTTGACAGAATTATTATTTCATACCCATGCTAACATATGCATGTTCTTGTCACTTGTATTTTCATATCCTACCACAGAATCAAACACACAAACACAGTATTTAGTTTACTGAACAGGCATCTGACCTCTTACTCTCCCTTATTGCTTTGTCTCCTTTCTTCCAAGTGATAGTTGGCTTTGGAGAGGCTTGTGGCTTGCACTCAATGAGAACTTCTTGGCCCTTGGTAATAATTATTGTTTTCCTCATTTGATTGAGTGGGAAAGTGGGAGCTGAAGCTGTTAAAAAGAAGTGTGTTAACTCTACACAGAACAATCAGTTTCCTTTTTCATTAAATTTTAATAGAAGATTAGAATAATAACTTTGATTTGGAGGAAATGATTACACTGCAGATTTGATGTAATTTTACAAAATATTTAAAAACAATCAGGAGCCAAGACTAGGTGACAGATATACAACTTAATCCAGTTATGAATTAGTGAGATGTCGAGATGTCCCTTACATCAGAACCAAAGTAAGATCACTTATGAAATTCAACAACTTTAGAAATTAAATACCGTAGCTGATTTAGCTACATCTTTTTCCAAGTCTTCGGATTTCATGGACAACTTCTTAGAAGTAACTAGTTCAAAATGAAAAGTTTAAATTCCACAACTATACCAAATGCACTCTCTAGAGTTAATTCTGATAAAAACTATTACTTAGAGAAATTTTATGTTTTTTTTTATTGCACAGTATTCTTCTGAATACTTTCAGTTGAAAAGTGAGAACACAGTAGAAGATATTTAACTATGTCTTGTTCTTAGCATTTCACTTTTCAAGAAGTCCCACTGATCACAATACATGATAAACGTATTATAAAATTACAATACGTAACACACATGTCCCAAAATGACACTAATTACTGGGATTTCACATGAAGAAAGGACTTTTGTTTTCAAGTAATCTCATTTGTCTGTGTTTTTCTTAGACCTGTTTTGCAAAACCAAAGCCCCCTCTGTAACTACCTCAGCTACAGATATAGGAATATATGACACCCCATTGCCTCAAATATGTAGAAATTTTCTACTGTTACTTTGGGTAATTTTCATACCAGAGCTATTTATATGGGTAGTTTATTTTGTTATTTTCCCTTTAATAATCCAGAAAATCAAACAGAACTGCTTCTTTAATACAACAGAATGGTTAAAATTTAACAAGGGTACAATTTTACAAGTGACAAAACCAAAGGCTGATTTTACTGCAGCAACATACAATGTCCATTTCCAGTAACAGAGAAAGTGTATAACTACCTGTTTCATAATATATGTAAAAAAAACTAACAAGAAAATCTTGCAAGCAACAAGGACCGACTGAATCACAAATGACAAAGGAAAGTGATGGAAAGAGAGCTACCACTGTCTGTGGGTTTTAATATGGCTAGACAGAAATATTTTGAAGAGCTATCAGTGAAATTCTAAAGTTGGCCAGCTGGCAAATAATGGAAATCTTCTAGACAGATTCTTCTTCAGAAGAACCAAATCTTGGCTGAAATGTAGTGTTATTATTTCAGTAAATTCAGATTTCTTATTCATTTGGGAGTTTACATGAATGATTCTAGATGCAGGTTTTGAAATATGCAAGGTTTGAACAGTGCAGAGACCTCTAATATCTGATTTGGCCACTGAATTACTCTGACAGATACGCGTCTTCCAGCTATACAGCACTTTAACAAAGATCATGAGACTCTTACAAGTCTGCCTTACTTAACCCTGGGGAAGTCTTCTTATCACTATTGTCTAATTGTATGCTACCATAGTTTGCTTTAAGAAAAACTACAGTGTTCAAAAGACATGCTTCAAGTTTTCTTCCTTAAGCCCCCACTTCAATTTTTTAATAACAAAGTTTTTACTATATTTCGAGGTAGCACTATGTAGTGCATTTGCTTTACTATGGATGATATTAGCTGAAGTATGTCATTTCCAGTATTCAATCGGTCCTGATGACTTCATAGAAAATTTTTAAATTTTTGAAATTGAGATCATACTTAATTACCTTTGAATAACAGCCTTGGTAGAAATAATTTAATTTTAACAGAGACTAAAATACATTTCTTTTCTCTAAGTTTCCTCTCTTCACTTATTTTTGAGGGGCTAAAAACTATTTTTCATTTATTTGAACTGGAATGCCTTATATGAGAATTTTTCACAAAATGTAACCAAGTCAATTATTTATGAAAAAAAAAAAAAAATCAGTTAATAGAAGGATCTGTGTGCTCTTGGGCAATAAAGGACCCACTGATATATAAATAAGAAAGAGTAAAAAGGAGCCCACTTTCATTGCTCTGCTCCATTTGGACTGGCAGAAACTGTTCCTTATCAAAACAGACCAAGAACAAGTATAATTATCCAAGGGAAAAGAAATAATGGTCTGTTCTCTTTCAATAATACTCACCTAAAATCTTCAGCTCAGCACTGGCATAAATGGTACCATACTTATTTTCTGCTAAGCACTGATACATTCCAGCATCTGAGACATTCACACTGTGGATCACCAGAACACCATTAACCATCTCAATCCTGTTCTGTAATGGAATAGTAATAAAAAAAAAATCTATAAAAGCAAACAAGCACTGGAAATTTGCTGTGTTATTTGCTTCAGGCAAAGGGACAAAAGACATTATTAAGCTAAAATAAAACTGAGCAACAAATTTCCTTGGGATTCCCTTTTTTTTTTTTTTTTTTTTGTATAAGGAATGACAAGGATAAAACAGATGGGGGAAGGAAGAAAAAAAAAATCCAAAAATATTTAAAAATAAACATTTTTCAGTGCAAATTCACCATCTCCAAGGCCCACTTCTGTCTGTTTGCTTGTTAGTCTACTATTAACCTTACATGATTTTTGAAAGCAGTTCATCCTGGGAACTTTAATGAGACAAGAAGTCAGTTGTGGGTGTCGCATATCTGATGATCTTCACATCTCTCGCAAATGTTTGGTTTCAGTCACTGTATTACATTCATAAATATATATGTGTAAGATTTTTCATATGAATAAGAGTGAAAGGGCCTAATTGTCTTCATCATTAGTGCAAATTCATTATTTTAAAACTCCACTAGCAGAAAACAGTTACCACAGCTGAAAGAGAAGGGCATTGTAAGCTGTTTAAGGAAATGTATACTTCACGAGCTGTATAATTTGAACTGCTATAAAATACCTCCAGATTTCATTATTGCAATTGTTGGAGGTGTAATCAAAAATTGATAAAGTGTATGGGAATGCAGAGGACACTGTGAAAACAAATTCTCTCTGTTAAAAGCACCCAGTTTAAACTGAAATTTAATTTGAAATTTCAGAGCCTGTTGCAACTAACAGTTTGAAAATCAGAAAACCAGAAAGAAAAGATATTGAAATTGCTTCAATTTCAGGACTAATAACTCTATCTATGGAGGCAGAAATGGATAAAGTCATATAACCTTATTTTCAGTGCCTCACAACTTGAAAAGTAAGCTATGTTTATGTTTCCTTTCTCATTGTTTGCATAATCAGTTAATGTTCACAAATGGAAGTGGCATTCACTGAAAAGGAAATCATTACATCTTTTATATTCATAAATCCTTTCTGTGAATTCATTTCCAAATGAAGACATTTTCTCCCAGAATTGAACAGCTTTATTTTAATCTGGAAAAATAAATAAATCTATAAAACTTTTATCTACTGTAAATAATTTGACACTATAAAAATGTAAAGGTGTTAGGCAAAAACCCACATGATGTGGGCTGACCTGTTGACAATTCAGTAAGAGAAAAATGAACAAAATGAAATAAAAGACAGCCATGCCATGTGTGTTCTTTTAGAAAGAAATGAGAATTTTGTTTAGACCTAATTCTAAAATACATTAGTAGTTGACTGTAGTTAAAGACTTCACATTCTAGGAGCTTTATATGGAGCATTTGAATGGTCTTGATGACGAGTCCTGTTATAGGGAATTCATGGAGTTGGAAACAGATGAAAATAAGTCATTGTACCTTTTATATTAGCTTGCTAGTGTTTTGAGAAGTAGGATTATGCACAAGCAAAATGTGGTAAATCTCATAATAACATGATATGACATGACATAACAGCATAACATAACGTAACCTACATTGGGGAAGGTGAAGGAATGTGATTCAGCAAATAAAGCACTTTTTTGAGTTGCTACTATCTATTTATTAAAAATGAAAAAAGAGGCACAGTACCATTTTCTAAAAAAGAAACTAACAAACACAGAAAACAGTAATTTCTAAAGTGCTTTTCATTACTTTCTTTAACAGGCTTTATCTGAATAAAAGAGAAACATGCAACATACTGGTGACTCCTTGTCTAATGTACCTGTGGCCAGAGAGGAACTCCATTTTTCAGCCACTGATATGTGGGCCTTGGCTTTCCAGTGGCTTTACATTCCCATCGAAGCTGATCTCCACTGTCTAATTGAGTATCGTTAAGTTTCTCCACCCAATGTGGGTAGGCTGCAAGAAAAAATACCATACTATATACAAAGGGTATAAACTGTAAGTCTCTAGCTGATGTGCAAAAACCTAATCAATTAAAAAGCTTAAATTATAGCCTTTATAGAGTTTTGTTTACTCTGAGAATGAAGCACATTTAAATAAACAGCCAAAACCAAAAGTTATAAAATAAACAAAATTCCATAACTTTACAGGAAATGCTGTAATGGCACAAGGAAGTGAGCAGTATCATGTCAAGGCATAGAAATATTTTTCATTTCATAAAGTTCAGTGGATTAAATTACAGTACTATCTATTCATGCATTAATTATTACTGCATTTAAGAGCATTTGTTTGGTAGTCACAATAGCGTATTTAGTGACTTTTCAAGACCTAAGCTATTTAAATTTTGGAAAGTAGGCCAGTCATCACAGACTTTGTTTCATGCAGTTTTCTCAGTTTACTAGGAAATCATGATTTATTCAGCTAGGAATAACTGGGCATGTGGTAAGGTATTTGCACATAGTTTTGTTAAAGTGTCTTGAGTTGAAATCCATTTGAAAATGCTTGCAATGTTTTAAAGCACAGAACCCATGAGATTTTTAGCATTCATCAGAAACATATACTACACAATAAAACAACTAGTCTTTTTTAAAGGTAAACAGTTGGCAGGTATGTATGTGATCATTAGTATCATCTAAATTTCATGTAATAATCTATTAAAAAACAGACCTTTAATGCAGCAGCTCATCAGACAGCTATATGTAGAATCTTATAAGGTTGGAACACTTTGTATGACTCGTTGAGGAACTGAGCATTCATATGCAGGAATAAAACTGTATGTTTAAAAGCCATCTTTTGTTTTTTCACACTGTAGCCATATTGATTTTTACAGCAAAGACAATGATAAATGAAATTGATTAATGATATTAAGTGTTGAGTTGTGGGTTTTTTTAGTTAGCAAAGAATAAATAGCTAAAAGGTCTTCATTGCTAAAAGAATGTAAAATTCTGCTTGGTATGAATAGAAGTCCAGATCTGTCACAATGAAATCTCTGCTTCAAACATCAGATAATTGATAATGTACTTAAACATGGAGAAATGAATGTAAAAATAAATCTTTGAATCTAGCTGGCTTTTGACAGGTCACCAATCAAAGATGTGAGAAGATATGAAAAGGCATGGCAGGTGACTAACTGCTTCTAGCTTACATTTCGTGCATGCATGATAAAGAAAGTGAAGGAGGTGTCTATTATTCCTAAGCAGAGAATCGTCTGCTTCAGAGTCCCTGATGAGACAGTTGTCAGAAGCTGGAAACAGTAGAAGAATCACTCATATCCCTTTTAGTAGAGGAAAACAGAGATAAGAGTGACTGAATCTCACTCCCAAACCCAAGACCAAAACCATCTGCTCCCTTATTATTCTTATTACAGTCAAGGCAATGCATGACATGCTCCATATGTGCTCCACTGCACTGAGTTACTTGATTATTAAATTATATCAAAGGGTCCCATGAAATTCTCAGAAGCAGCTTGCAACAGTCCCTGCTCACTTTTTTGTCTACTAATTGTCCTAAAAATATAACCCTATTGCATATTTGATGCTATTGTTTTATTTTTGATGGTTTTGGTATGCACAAAAGGAGCATGCTAAGAAGTAATTGTTTCCTTTGAAAATGAATAAGCTAATAAGATTCTGGAAGATGTGACAGTTCAATGTGTAACTAAAAAAACATAGAAGTTAACCAGCGGTGCCATAAAATCATGAAGTTTCAAAGAGGTGCTAAATAGTTCCAATGTATATTTCATTCTTTTTATTATTTTGATTTTCTGATAATTCTACCAAATGACCCAGAGCATATCTAGTTTCATTTTACACGGTGAATTTGATCTCATCATGAACCAGAGCATTCAGAACCAGTCAGCAACTGCTTTCTCTTAAATAAAACTGTTTTTCCCAGCCTGGCTGCAGAACTGTTCTCCTTACTACACAACTGTCATTCCCTATCCTCTGTCTTGATAGCATAGTCATAGCACAGGCTTTCCTCTGTAACCACATACTTGCAAATAACAGTGCTATGACAGATTGGTATTAGCAACCTTTTTCATTAGTTGGGGTATTTCTACCCTGTATTTTCTCGTACAACCTAAATGGCCTTTGGATTCACAGATTCCCACACCTTTGAGAAAAAGGTAGCAAAGCAATAGGTAGATGTAGCAGGGATAGAGTTAAACACATGACTGAGATAAATATTTCTATAGCTATTGGGTTTCCTTTTCTCCCTCTATGTGATCTTTTGCCACAAAGGGCTCCGTCTCTGCTCATATGGTCACTTTTCATAACATCATAACGCTTAAAAAAGTGAAACTTGGTGCAAAAATTCTAACTGATATACATGCAGGCAAAGGAAACTTCATTCCATGACTGCACTTAATTTTAATTAGAACATATCAATTCTAAGAAGCATTTAAACAGATTTCAAACGTAACATGCTTCTTTTTTCCTTTTTATAAATTCAACATTTACTTTGGGGAAAAAAAATGCGTGTTTGCCTGGGTTTTATCTGTCCAGCAAAGAGTTTTGGGTGAACGTAAGAATAGAAGTATGTGTTTCTTTATTCAGTAGTCTTTATGGATATCGTGCCACAGCTTTACACAGCACTCCTGAGATTTTAAAATCACTGTCCAATCCTTGATTTATTTTATGCTGCATTTCTGCACCTGTTTATTCAAGGATGTCAAAATGTTTTACAAACATAAATTGGCAATAAATCTGCAAGCTTACAGGCCAGTTTTTACACCCTCTGTGCAAAATGAAATTCAGATGCAGAAAACTCAGCCTCCTGTCTCAAATTATTCATCAACATTTTGACTGAGAGAAAATTGAGGACAAAATTTTCAAAGAGAAATGAATTCAGACAGCGTCCTAAAATGTGAGTGAGTACAGAGCTTGGGGTGAAAAAAAGAGTTGTTTTCTGGACACAAAGCTAATTGGGAACTATACAGGAGGAGAAGAATAGGAAATTATTACAGTGAGAAAGATAAGATAGCAAATTTAACCCAAAGGTGCAATTCTGACTACAGAAATCTCTTCCTCTCAAGCCAGGGGGTAACCTGTAGTGGCACCAGTGGATTTTATTCCATACGGATTTCATAAGGAAGTGATTTTTTTTTAAATCAGAATGGTCCATTGCACTGCATCACAGAATGCTCCAGCCCTCAGCTTGTTCCACTCCTCTGTTATGGCAAACCTTCCCTCCTGCTGTAGCAGCAGTTCAGCTCATGGGGCACTACTGTGAGCAGGATCAGAGAACTGGTACAGCCAAAAAGAAAAAGGCCAAAAAAGTGTTTTTGTGGTCTGCTTCATATCCCCACTGGCTGCTCAGTTGGCACTAGTGAGTAGGTAGCACAGAAAAAACCCCAAAAGTTTAAGACTGAGAGAGGGGCAGGAATTGCACAGAACAGCTCCTACCATTAGGAAAAAGCTACTAGCCAGGATTTGTGGTGCAACTGTAATTACAAAACGTTAATGGCTAATTTCTCCACCCAAATTTTAATTGTTGTGCTCTCTTTTCAACTGTAATTACAAAACATTAATGGCTAATTTCTCCACCCAAATTTTAATTGTTGTGCTCTCTTTTATTAATCAATTTGAGCTTGAAGAAAATTTAATCAAAACTTACAAGATGAACACTTCACCTGGGGAAAAATCACACCTCACAAAATAGGTTGCAATGCACATGAGGATGTCTTGCATTGTCAATATTATGTTTTTAATGACTGTCATTTCTACAGTTGAATTGCCATAAAATGCTGAGACTACAACTATCTGAAATTGTCAGCATCCGAAATACCACGTTCTGAACATCCATAGTGTCAGCTGCATCAGGCAGCCATGCTATATCTGGATTGCAGCAGCAGGTAAGAAATGAAAAAAAAACACTGGTTTGTTATTAAATGTGATCAGACAGGCAGACTGGGTGTCTTGGGCTGTCTCCAAAATCCTCTGTGGTGACTCAGATCAGATGCAGCAGATGAAATGAAGAAGATTCAAAACAGACAGTGACTGAGTTCCTACAGATATGCAGATGGTGGGACTGCAGTATGACACAGCTGGTCCTCCAGCCTGCTCTGAAATTTTACAAGAATCCCCTGGAAAGAAATGATGGCCTACATCTGAATTTCTGAGTCAAAATAATCGTTGTGTCCTGGAGGAATAGGATGTCAGTGAAAAGAAAATGAGCTTAAAGGTAAATAATTCATGTTGACTGTTGTTATGAACAAGAGGTAGGGCAGGAAATGCTGTTTCAGGTAATGCCCCTGAATCTTGCCATATCAGCTGTCAGCAAAGGAAAATGAGAATCTTTGAAAGTAACATATGGCTAAACTTTGTGCTGCTAAAAACCTTCCTACCCAAACTCTCTTACATCCCTGGAAAGTGTTGCCGAGATAAGTAGGCCAGTGAGACACTGATGCTCTCTTCAGGAGCGCTGAAGGCTGTAAGAGGCTCACTGGGGAGTATTTAATCTCAAGGCCAAGAAAAGGCACTTTTAAGAGGTTAGTAACAGTTTGTATTTCTGCTGTACTGGAGGTCACTGCTGGTCTCTTCCATCTGAAAGCCCTCTGATGCCTGCTCTGACCTTACTCCCTGTTAATGCATATAGGTGAAACTCTGACTCAGATCTGGTTTTGGCTTATCTCTAAGACAGTCTAAATTATAATAATAGACTTAAGAGAAACTTAATAACATATTAGTCTCACATATCTGTTAATCAGAGGAATGAGACAATCTGAAGTGGACCCCCTTTCTATATTGTTAAAGAAGTTCTAATATTTTTGCAGAAAATGCCAACTAGCACAAATTTCACACTATTCATAAAGGCAGTGACAGTAAAAAATATAATTTTGACAACGGTGGAGAACTAAAAATACGTATTTACACCTGGACAGAGTAGAACAAAATGGGTTTTTATGTTGAAAATGTTTTCTATGGACTCCTAGTTTGTGTATCATCTTTATTTCTTCTCAGAACAAAAATGTGTTCAGGCTAATGAGGGAGGCAGAGTTGTTTAGAACTCTACATAATGTTGCTGTGATTTTATGCCACAGGTCTGCAGGGTGGTCTTGAGAAAATAAATTCATTTTTTAGTATCTTAGTTTCTCTCTTGAACAGCACCTTTTATATTCCTTTAACTCTGAAAGAGGGAGGCAAAGATAGCACTAGAAAACAGCTGGTAAGTGTGTGAGCTGGGATACACCTAATAAATCATTATTATTTTTTAATTTAGACATTTTAAGAAATGTTGTTGAAAAAGACCATGTATGCAGCTAGATTCCCCAGCCCCAGGTCCCTAGCAGGACCTACTCTACTTCCAGGGAAGTAATTGACGATAGGAATTTGTAATACCAAACAAGTATCACTGGGATACTGGCATAGGAGGAAGCATCAAATAGTTCTTGGGCTTTAACTGCTGTTTTCAGCAAAAACCTTATAAAAACTTTGCTGCCAGTGCAGTATAGATGGCACGTCCAAAATGAAAGGTGCAAACTACCATCTTTGTCATCGAATATTTTTCCCAGCTTATGCAAAAAAAATTGAAGACAAAAAACCTGCCTTTGGCTTTAGATGGATGAGAACCAAAAGCAAGGAGAGAATCACCATTCAGAGATATGCTGATACTCACTAAAACCAAGGGACTAAGATAAAGGCTCTGGAAAGCTGGAGGAGACAGGAAAATTGATTATGGACCTGGAAATATTGACATATGTGGAAAATAAACCAAATATATGATGCCAGCCTACGGTTATTTGATGAAAATGTGTAACAAAGAGAACTGTGTATAGTTAGTAATGGGGAGAAAGCACTAGGAGCACTGGACTGGGATCAAGAAAAGAAAAATAAAATTGATTAACAGGAGAGACTCCTTCTTAAAGGCATCTATTAGCCTGAGGTCATGTCTGAACCGCAGCAGTTGGAATTCCACTAACTGTGATATTTAAGGCCAGAAAACAATTCAGTCTGAAAGATTCACTGCATGACCTCCTGCAGTAGACCTTTCTTCTTAAGTATTTAAGCCAGTAGGATTCACGGAATGATAGCAATTGGAGCAGCTTTAATTGATAAGAGGTATGTGGGTCTCAACCACACATTCAATGAGGGAAACTGGGTTGTAAGTATTCAATCTGATGCATTTTTTTATGCCTACTCACAAAACTTTTAGAAAGACCAATCTTAGAGAGAAAATGTTCAGCACTTTCTGAAAAACAGAACCTTCAGATACTGTGCATGCCTAGATAGAGAATTTTCTACAAAATCAGAAGCACTTCTCCAAGCTCCAAGATAAATCATGTTCAGGTTTCATGTCACTGTTATATACCATAACAGGAGGAAAAAAATGGACTTTTAAAATTATAGTGATACTCTTTTTAAAAAAATCCTATAAAACCCCATAAACATCAAGTATGAAATTGTATTTAAGACAGTTCTTTGAGAGAATCAACTTTATTTATATCTCACCTTAATGCATTACTAAGAAATAAAAATACATATCTTAATACAATAATAATTTTATTTTAGAAGAATGATATTTTTTTCTGCTGGACCTTAGCATCCTTCATACGTAGTTAAAGCCTTAAACGCGGACAAAGCATTACTGCAAAGTACTTTGCGCAGTTACACTTACTGTACACTTGTAGCTGTCCTCTGAAGACATTTCTTCCACGAGAGTTTTCAGCCTTACATTCATACATTCCCGCATCCTCTAGCTGCACATTAGGTATTTCAAGCACAGCTTGGGATTTTCTCAGGCGGGCTTTACTTGGATTATGACCATTAACTTTCTTCCAAGAGATTGTTGGAACAGGGCTGAAATATTTAATAAAATTATTGTTAGCACACTTCCACTATGGAGAATATAGATTCTGCTAGCTGGTGGTTTAAACACTTAATAATCTAAGTAGCAATAAAATATAACCACAATTAAGGTTCATATAATGCTTGATATACCTCGCTTTCTGTAGGGAATCCCTACTAAATGGTTTGCTACATGGAATGACTCTTTCATCCACAAGGGAGGCCAAATTTTTATTGAGATCAAATAAATCACTTGAAATACTCTCTCTAGATCTTCTTTACAAGTCTATGTTTTACTCCTGAACACTTACACTCAATAGGGAAAAGAAAATAACAACTTCAAAATCTGGATGAATTTAGCAAATTCCAACACATCTGAATTTTCCTGCAATGAAATTGCAGTTCAGGAGATCAGTAAGTGATAATGTCTATGTAGGTGGGGGATTTCAGTACCACTCTATCTTGGATAAATGAAGGTAACCAAAAGTTTGCAATCCTTTTCTGCAATATTAAGCTACAAAACTGGTTGTGTATGAAGTATGTATTCACTATTGCTTCTGACTCACAGCATTATATGCCTGCTTGTGGGACTGAAAGGGCTTTTCATTGTGGTTTGCTATTCCACAGAGGTCTGTATCTTTCATACTGAGGGAAGAAATGAATTAAATGTTGTTGGCACTCATTCAATTTTCTTTTCCAGCCCAAGCACGCATCATTCATTGTGCACCTATTGGGCTTATCGGTATAGATATATATTTGTGTAAATATGGCAGATGCTTAAGTGGGAAGGGAAAAAAAAAAAAGAAGAGAAAGTGTAACTGATACTTAAAAAAAAAAATGTTTATTGCTTTAAAGTTTGAGCTTACATTTAAACACAGCTGGATCTTGAGGCAATTTAGGCGGGGAAATAGCACAAATTCAAATTTCTATTAATTTCTGCCATAATTTGCTAACTTCCTCTTACTGTAACTACATGAAGTTGTATTAAAAAATCACCTTTCTCAAAGAATTTAAGGGTTTGAGACACACAAATACAGACATGGCAACCAACCATGGGAAAAGCTCTAGCTATTCTTCAGAAAGTTAAAATCAGGTTGTGAGACTGCAACTGTTCTCACAATTCCAGACAAAATGCTCCAAATTCCTGTACTTTACAGAGATTCAGAAATTTCCCAGACTTGTAGTTGGAGGTCAGAATGTTTCTCTAATCTTGTTTCCCGAATATCACAAAGAACTGAATTTCATTGAGCCTATTAACATAATTACCTTCACAAAGTCAATTTATAGTCACATATAGAACGGTATACACTACTTATTTGAATATATGAGGAGGCAAACATCATTTCCCTTATCAGTTTGCTGTACTGATTACTTCACCTGACAAAAGATACTTTTAAACTCAAACTTTAATTTTAATAATTTTAATAATTTTAATAATTTTATAATTAAATTTTAATTTTAATACTTTCTTGCTGACATAGAAAATTTTGGTGTCCTGTAGGTTTGGTGTGAGGACTTCTCTGTGCAGGTTGTATGTGCCTTATTTAAAAATTTTGCTTCCTATTAGAAATTATTTTACAGAATTTTCAGCTAGACAATTAAAATAACTCCCCATTCTTATTTGACACAAGTACTTCAACTGTTCAGTTCTAAATATGAGGTATTAACAGGGTATTTCTGTCTCTGATGCACTAAAAACCTTACTGTCTTCAGCCCTACCACTTACGATACTCATGTCACATTCATGGCTACTATACTTTGACAGTATATATTAGAAGTAGTACAAATAACAATATTGGTTTCTTTTTTCCTCCCATTTATTAGTTCTCATATTTTATTTCTAATTGCACATTTGATATTCAGATTTATAGCCCTTCTGGAGATTTTGTAAGTAAGTCTGTTTTTTGCTTTGTGTTCCGCTGTAAGTGCAAATTCCTTATACGCCTGTTCTCTTTCTATGCAGAATATAATTATGTCATGATTGCTGGCTGCAAAACAAACCATGGACAAGCAAGTGTTTTATTAGTCATTATCAATCACAACACAAGCCCACAGCAGGAACTCTATGCTGGTACAATGCAATGGTACTCAGCAACTGCTGTTTTATGAATGAGACAGACAGATGTGCAGGTACACTTTATTTGGCAACATAAGGGTTCCATACTTGCTGCCCATTGTTGTTTATTTGCCCTTCAGCCCTACTTTCAGAAACGTTAGTGACAAAAATTCTTTTGCTGTATTGTCATGGAAGAAAACTGGTTCTGCTGAATAGAAATGGTAAGTGGAATTTTTTCATAGCCTATATTTCTGAGAAATAATGAAGATATTATAAACTGTGAAAATTGTCTCATTTAGCTGCTATGAGATTATTCTGAAAATCAAGTATTTAGAAAATTTCTTTTAAATTGCATTTAACTATGTTTTTTTTTTAATTTGCTTTTGTGTCTGCCTCAGGAAGTAAATGTGTATAACATGGAAAATACAATGGAAACTTGTTCTCTGAGTCATTAAGAAACATAATTTAAAAAAAAAATCACTTTTTTCTTCATCAGTATGAGGTAGTAAGTGGTTTTTCAAAGAGATAAAGTTACTTTAGCCATGTAAATTTAATGATATCAAAGGAAAGTATTTCCAAACTGCAAATCACTATCCACCGACAACTTGTAGTTCTGTTTAATGAAGCTTATTTTCCCTGCATAAGTTACAACTGAGATGTGAATTTTACATCTGAAATAAAAATGTATCTATACCTACTTCTCCTCTGTAACTGTGTGAGAATAAAATGAAATATATCTGACTGAGGATGTGAAAGAATAAAATTGTGTGGCTGTTCTAGAAAACTCATAAAATCCACCATAAAAACTAACTAAAGTATGCATATATTTTTAATACTTTCCAAATGATCCACAGTTTTTTAAAAAATAGAGTAACAGCAGAGGTATCTCTAACATTAATATGAGTTTAATGCAATATGCATAATTTTTAACTTATAATCATTATAATCCATTTTATTTTGGTCTCAGCGGGCATGTATGGGAATGGAGTTTCCTTGTTTATTATGACTCTGTTAACATTCAAACCCCTGGAGTAATTTGATTCAAGTTTCAACTGAGTTCAAAGATAAGATTTTAAGATTTCTCCTTACTTTTGGAAAGAATCTGTTGAATACTACCGGTAAATCTTTGCACCATTGAGAAAAAACACCTCTGCTTGATTCCAGAAATACCATCGTTAAACATGTAAGTTCTGAGAGGTCACTGGTGACTATGATAAACATTACTGTGGGTTTATTCACTTCAAAGAAAATATGAGTTATAGTTTTACATTTACATATAGAAAATATTCTAAGTGCCCATTTTCGTAAGTATATTATTTTGGACAAGTGCTTTTGACTTTGTTTGGACTTCTACACAAGTTTCACTGGAAATAAAAATCATTAAAAAAAAAAAAAACTGTTGAAAGCAATTTTATATATTTATTTATTTCACCTGAAAAATAATTTATTAGATCTATAAAGAATTTGTTTATTTCCAGAAAATGGTGAGGTGGAAATGGGAGTAAAGCCTGAATTTTAAAATACCTTTTTCATGGATCTCAGCTCCTAGTTTTTCAGCAGTATCTTAAATACAAATGTATAGGTTACTTTTTCTATATTTGGTTGGTAAAAATGGATGTGCTTTTTTGAAATATTTTACCTTCTACTGTAATTTCAATTTCTTTCCACACTATTTCTCTTCACTGTGCATCAGTGTTCTGAGCTGTGCCTTCAAACCCACAGGTTCACATCATAACGTATCTTGAAAACCAAATCATGCCTGTGTATTTGACACTAGGAAGAAAACCTTTCTCCTTATGCCCTCCAGCCTTGCATCCCAGTTAAATATATTGTAATTATTACAGAATAATTATATAGGATTAAAATGTCAAGGAGTATCATGAAATTCTCTCCATCACATACTTTCCAGAAATGACCATCAGCTATTCACACAACTCTACCTTTAGAATGTTCCATATAAATCAGTTAGGGTAAGCTGCAGAGATTTAGGAGACAAGATAATAACTTTTCCTTTTATTTCGTTATTAAAAGACAGTTAGTATTCATGAAATATAGAAGCAGTGAGTACTGGTGATTTAAGAATAGAAATAGGAGGAAATGACAATGAGTTTGAAGCCTGTGTGCAGGAAGAAGTCTAGGTCTGCAAGTCCCATCAACACATCTATTACTGTACTAAAAAGATACGATGCATGTATCAGTGTCACATACTAATGTAGATATGCTTTCTCTGCTGGCTTGTTCTTTATGGCACAGAGCAAGGACAGCGTGCCTGCTTGGCTTCATGTCATTTTCTCCACACTTCATGTCCTAACACAGAGCATCTCTAACATCTAAAACAATGCTATGGATAATGATTTGTTACCTATAATGATTCATTATTCATAGTGAATTATACTGCAGAAGATTTCCTCTGCTGACTGATCAGAGCCTAAAGCAATTACTTCAAGCTTTTTCCAAATTCTTAAATTCAAGTTAATAGTGAACACAAGAGTCATCTGATTCCAATGTAATCAATCAAGAGAACAGGAGATTCACAATAGGTGAGGTATTGACTTCACAAGTCATGAGTAAAGGAAAAAAGCTACTCTGTAGTCTTTGGTTTCTCCATTTGAAACTTAGAAAAATGTTATTTACTCTTAATAAAATCATAACAGCTTAGCTGTTATTGATGAAAAATTTAGTAGAAAAGACTTGAACATCTCCTCCTTTTGATTCAGTGCTGGACACATTGCAAAATTCCATATTACATTTATGTCATTGTTCTATAGCAGATGCTATATTGTGGGATGGAAGAGATGTTGAGCTACTACAACTATTAAATAAGGACACAAGTAAGCTTTGTTTTTAACTCCATCATTCAGTGATCCTTTTTCTTTTTCTAGTCTCTGTATGACATCCTACATCAGTTTGCTGGCCAGTGTCACTCTGAAATAAGTGGACATTCTTCTGGAAAGTA